AACAATAATAATAATAATAATAATAATAATAATAATAATAATAATAATAATAATAATAATAATAATAATAATAATAATAATAATAATAATAATAATAATAATAATGTTAATTATAATAATACCAATAGTAACAGTAATAATAGCAAGTATAAATTGACCGAATTACTTGAAGACTAGAAAATTGCAGAAATTCTTGGAAAATTCATTCAAAAATTACTTTCTATTATGGAATGATTAAAATGATTCATTATATTTGATGAATTTTTTTTTTCAACTTTAAATTTATTCCATCCATTCAATTTTAATTTATTCTTATTTAAAATGTTAATTTATTTATTGAGGATGGCATAAAATGAAGAAATAAAATCTTTTTTTTTTATAAATTCAACCTATGCAATCTTTTTTTGTTAAGAAAAACTTTTTCTTTTAAAAAAATTCGTGGGTTTTTTTTCAGTAAATTTCAACTATTTTCAAATTAATGGCATTTATCAACTGCTTGCATTAGAATTGATAAATGAATGAACGAATGACTGACTGAATGACTGAATAAATGAATGAATGAATGAATGAATGAATGAATGAATGAATGAATGAATAAATGAATGAATGAATGAATGAATGAATGAATGAATGAATGGATAAATGAATGAATGATTTTCGTTTGTAAGGGACAAAACAGAAAACAGATTTTTGTCAACACTGTGCATTAATTAATCGATAAACAATATTTGTAATCAATAAACAATATTTGTAATCAATAAACAATATTTGTAATCAATAAACAATCTTTATACACATTAAGACATTTGCATATTCTAAAAAATGTTAAAAGCAAATAATACTAAACGAGTAAAAATTTATTTATATCATAAATGATTACAATGAAATGCATTTGCATATTATTTACAAATTATTCGATCAATTAATAAATATTTGCTGTTATTGTTAACAAAATTGATTATTTGTTGATTTATTTCTTGGTTACCTAAAACATAATTTGCCTATAACTAAACCAAATCTATTAATTAATTAATTAATTGGACCCTATATATATCGAAATAGTACTGTATAATTAACATAAATCGAAATAGTACTGTATAATTAAACCATATATCTGTAATTCATTATTGTAATTCGTCTCTTTTTTTTTCCTGCTCATCCCATTCTTTGACATTTATAAATTTCATTTCAATTTAATTGTTTGAAATTTAAAAATGAGTTTAATTGTTTTTTTTTCTTTCAATATTTAAACAAGAACTTTTGTAAGAATTGATAGAAATTCATTTGCTATTAAATTAAACTCTTTCGTTTTAGTTTTTTTTTTTTTTGAAAATTTTTTGTCAAAAAAAAAAATATTACAATTTAAATAATTAGCGAAGAGAAGAAAATCAATTAAATGAATGGGGTCGATGTGGATGATCGTTCAAAACAAAGACAATACCGCTTTCATACTGCTACAACAAGAGTAACACCAACAATAGCAACAACAGCTACAACAACAACAATAACAGCAACAACAACAACAACAACAACAATTGCTACAACAGCAGCAGCAATAACAGCAACAACAACGTCACCAATAATTCGAATTCAAGGATTACCAAAAAGTAATGGTTGTGATGAGAAGCGAGGTATTCTGCGAAGTCTTTCATTTCAGGTAAAAAAAAAGTAAAAAAATTTTTTCTAAAATTGGATGGAAAATTTTGCAAATTTTTAATTTTTGATTTTAAATATTTTTATTTTAATTTTTTCAACTCTAATATATTTAAATTTAATCATTTTGAAATAGTTACAATTTATTTAACAAAAAAAAAGTGAAAATTGCTACGATATGATCAATCAGTTAATCAATTAGTAATATATGCGCATTAAGTTTCCTTTTTGTTTAAGATTTGATTTCACAATTACATATGATTGTTTGTTAACGGTTGCTAAATTGGAAGTTTGCTAATTCGTCCTAATTAGTAATTAGCAATTAGCTGATAGCTGAGCAAAATTATCAGTCTCATAAAAATTTCTCCGATTCCTAATGATAGAAAAAAAAAAGTTTATTTAATTTATTACTTTAATGATTGTTCCAAACAAATAATAATTATATCGGTAATTGAATTAATTTATTGAATTCTTGCTTAGAGTGATAGTACGAAAATAATTTTAATCAATCAAATTAATACGAATTATCAATAAATTCCATAATTTCATCAACGTGTAATACAAATTTGATGAAATTAATATGATGTAAATTTTTAATTGGTTAAGAAATAAAAAACACTTCTTATCATCATTATATTTATTTAAATTCTAATAATGAATTAAACTTGATTAATTGTAATTAAATAATTATTGGTATTTTTTTTTGCAGTTCAGTAGATCATTAAATCGTGGCAAACGTCGAATAGCTGATGTATTCGATAGTTCAGATGAAGCGGAACAACAAGGCGCATTTGGTTTACGAGGTTGTAAGCCAAATCGTCTTGAATTAGCCATGTATTCATCAACATTTGGCGTTCAACATTATGGCATTATGTTGAAACAAAGTAAACGAAAAAATCGTACAGCAAAATGGAATAAACGGCATGACAATCATTTCATTATTTAAATTCAAATTTTAAATTAAAATTTTTTCCAAGTTTTCCTATTTAATTTGAAATTAATTTATTATTATTATTTTTTATTTTTATTTTTTTAAGAATAAACAAAGGATTAATTTTTGTAATTTCATTACTTATTGCATCCATTGTTGATTAATTTAAAACTTAATTAAACAAATAAAAAATTTATCGATTTAATTAATGGAAAAAAAATTAAATTATTGAATAAATTAAATTGAATGAATAAAATAATGAATAAAAAATATTTCATTTTTAGATTTTTCGTGTTAAAAGAATGCTTTCTTGTTTATTATAAAGTATCGGAGAAAAAAATATTTGAAAAAACAAGACGAATGAATTTACATCCAAAGGTATTCCTATTATTAACGCTCGTATTTATCATAGTTCCAATTGCATTTGTAATTATAATTTAATTAATTATAATTATAAGTTTAATATGTTCTTTTTTGATTGCTTACTGATAATTAATTATTTCACTCACTTTTTTTTCTTATTACTTAATTAATTAAAGGTTAAACTGATCCTATTCCTTAATGTTTACTTTTTGCTGCCATAATAACAATTAGTAAAAATTAGATAATTAGCCATAATTAGCAGTAATTAGTAATACATAATAATGATAAAACATACATCATCATTCTGCATTATCTCAAATGATAGATAACATGAATGGCGCATGTTTGTGTGAAATAATATATGAAGTTGCATTTATTTCATATTTTTATACCTAAAAAATTAAATAATTTAAAACAGAATAATTAATATATAATTATTTATTGTAAAATAATTAATTCAAATTAAAATAACTCTACTATAACATTTTATATTTCTCTTGTTTTCTATTTTTCTTTTTCTTATTTTTTTTTTTTTTTGTTTCATCTTTTTTATAATAATTATTTATTACACATTTACTAAATGAAAATTATTAAAATATATTAATTGATAAAATTTAATTTTTTTTTAGGGAATAGTTCCACTTGTTGGTTGTTCCGTAGTAGCTGGTCAAGATCATGGACATAAGAATTGTTTATTGATAACACATACACAATTTAAATCAGCTATTATTGTTTGTGCACCAGATTCAAAAGTCCAAGAAAGTTGGTTGACAGCCTTACGTGATGCTACAAAAATGTTAGTAAAAATTATTTTAAATCTTTTTTTTTCTTTTAAATTTATAATTCATTTTTGGTGGGGGAAAAAAAAAAGAAGAAAAAGACGAAATTACAATTTAATTTTGAAGATTTTTTTTTTTAATCATTTGTTGAAATTTACGTTAAAACAAAAAAATTATCATTGCAAAAATAAAAAAGGAAAAAAAAGTCGTTAAAAAGTAAATGAAAAATTTTGATCACATTTACCGTATTGCTACTTTATTAATTAATTCTAAAATTTTCATTACTTTAAATTAATTCCATTTTTCAATTAAAATTTATTGAAAGATAATGTTTCACTTTCTGCAAGCGTTGATTTTTATTTCCTATTCTATTTTTTAAAATTCCATTATTATTATCTGTAATTGTTAACTATTAAATTGATAATACAAAAAAAAAAAGAAAATGGCGAAGAAATTGAACGAAATTTTATTTTTAAAAATTTTTAATTTAAATTTATATTATTATTTGCAAAAATTGCATTAAGAAAATTTTAAAAAATAAAATTTTAAAATTAAATTTTTAGTTCTTATAAAAATACTACATCATGGGAAAAATTAGTGGAAGAATTGGAAAGTCGTGGTGTATTATTAAGTGAGGAAAAGAAAATGTATGAAGAGAAATTGTTAGCAGAAGCGCAAGCACGACGAGAAGAACATAGTCGATATTTGGTTTGATTTAATTTTATTCAATTAAATTTGAATTTTCCTTTTTCTTTAAATAAGATATTTGAAAAAAAAATGCATTAGTATGTATTTAATTTCATTAAAAAAAAAAAAAAAACTATAATGAAAATATTTTACAAATAATTTAAATTTTTTTTGGAAATATTCGAATACAATTGATCTTTGCAATAATTTTAACATTTTATTTGTTAACAATGTTAAAAATTTTTTTTTTTAAAAAGAATATTTTTATTTTTTTAAGGCGCCATATATAAAGATAGCAAT